TCTCTTTTCCAAGGGAGGGGACACCTGGCACAGTGAGGTGGGCTGTGTCTGTTTCCACCACCTGTTGGCCCACCTGGCGTGTTTTTCAAACCACCGGGTCCGGGTCTCAAACCGTTGTTGGCTGGAAGAGGCCGGGCAGTGTCGTTCCTGCCCGGAGTCTGGGTTTCCGGGGTCGGTGGAGCCGGTTCAGAGCAGGAAGTAGCTGAGTTTGCAAGCGGCTATTTTTCTTTGATGTGCGTTTTTTAAAAAAGGAACTAAAAAAAAAAAAAAAGTTCACCCTGGCTTTTTTTCCCTGCCCTATCAGAGGGCGTGAGTTTGACAGAGCATGGTCCTGTTTGCATCTGGAAATGGCATTCCCTGCGCCGAACCTTCCCCAGCTGCAGTCTGGGGAAACTGAGGCAGCCGCAGGTCTGGGGAGCCGGACCCGGGTTCTCGTCCTGGCCCCGGAGTAAACGAGAACGGTGGCTAGATGTGAGTGGCCGAAGGACGAGGGCGATAGAGTGGTTTAAGATGACAGCACCGGGCCTGGAGGCTGCAGGACTGTTTGACGATTTTACTTAATTTTACTTTTTTGGGGTGCGGGGGGTTCTTAAGAACGTGTGTGCTCACCTGAGAGAGAGACAGAGAAAGTGAGAAATCACCGCTAACCCCCTCCCCCCCATGGCCATGCCGCAATACTGTCTCATTTGGGGATTTGGGGGCTCCATGTACACGTGCCTGGAGTGATTTTCCTTTAAAAAAAAATTTTTTTTTTTAAGAAGGTACTGTATTATTATTTATTTTAAAGAACTATTTTATTTAATTTTGTTTATTCTTTCATTTATTTTAGTTTGACCAGAGTGAGACAGAGAGAGAGAGAGAGTGAGAAAGCAAGCCACCAGGTCTGGGACTTGAACCCTGGTCAGCCATGTGGGAGTGTCCAGCCCCTTAACCACCACGCCACCTGCTGGTCCCCCCCCCCAATTTTTTTTTTTTATTCATTCATTTCTTTGAACTTGACCAGAGAGAGCGAGAAAGTGACAAAGCAAGGTAACAGGCCTGGGACTCAAACCGTGGTGGGCCAGGTGGGAGTGTCCAGCACCTTAACCACCACGCCACCTGTTGTGCCCACAGGCTGCAGAACTATTTAGGCCTCCCGTTTCCCCACGGAGAAAGCAGGGTCCTGCGCCCTTCCCAGGTGTCCTGACCTGAAGGCATTAGCCTGTCCGAGGGGAGCTCCCCCTGCTCCGGTCAGAGGGGTGACGCTGGCCCTTCCGTGTCTGGACTCCGGCCGGGGCATGGCCGCACAGCCTCACCCCCGTTCCCTTCCAGCTCCGAGAGTACAAGGTGGTGGGGCGCTGCCTGCCCACCCCCAAGTGCAGCACGCCACCCCTCTACCGCATGCGCATCTTCGCCCCCAACCACGTGGTCGCCAAGTCCCGCTTCTGGTACTTCGTGTCTCAGCTGAAGAAGATGAAGAAGTCGTCCGGGGAGATCGTCTACTGTGGGCAGGTACGGGGTGTGGGGGCGGCCTGGGCCGTGCAAGGGGCGCACTGCGGGGGTACCAGACCCGGGTCATAGCTACGGTCGGGCCGGAGAACGGGTCCAGGCTGTCCTCGCGGTGCGGAAAGCCTGGAGTTGCCGACCGGCCTGGGGGGTGCGTTATGTCTTCTTGCCTTCCCTCTCCCTGGCGAAAACCTTAAAAAAGAAACCAAGAGGGACCAGCAGTTGGCGTAATGGCTATGTCGCTGGACTCCCATGTAGTCGACTGTGGTTCGCGTCCCGGACCCGGTGGCTTAAACTCACGCCCGGCGCGTGTGCGTGCGTGCCCAAGATCCCGAGAGGAGAATGGAGGAGAAGGGACTGCGGCGTGGCCATCCCCCCTGGGGGGTGATTTCTCGCTCTCTGTCTCTCTGTCTGTCTGGCGAGCAGATGCACCCTATAGCGAAAAACCAAGAAACGAATGCTGGGGGGGGGGCAGCAGGGGGCTTGGAAGTGGAGACGCGGGACACT